ATTTTAATATTAAAATAGCTAGTATGTACTATTTTAATATTAAAATAGCCGGTATGTACTATTTTAATATTAAAAAACTAGTACGTACCTACTTTTTTTTAGTATAAGGTACGTATCCTATTACCCTTACTTAATGACCTATTRTCTTATTARTTATYACGATTGCTATTTCTTAGCGCTAGTAACTTTAATAGCTAATTCTAGCTTTATTTTATAGATATATAGCTTAAAAATATAGAAATACTTATYTTTTTACCGTAATTAATATATCTTAAAGTTTTTACGCATTTTTCTTATAAGTTGCGGATTATTTTAATGTAGCTATTTTGATCCCCCTATCTAGATATATAGGTCGAGAGTTTATATAGGAAAAAAACCATTTTGATATTAAAATGCGCGGATCTAGGATGTTAGGATCGGCTGCTCTATATAGGTTAGATTGACGATCGTTGGCGTTGGACCTGTGTCCTGGTAGAATTTTTGATCATGTTTGACGGAATATCCCTTCCCCTTCCTTACTAGATGTTGATCCATTCATAGATGTACATTCACGGCCCTCCTTGTGGTCTAAACCCATTACCTTAACCTGCTGTCGATTACTGTATTGTACTCATGTCCCCATAGCCACCAACGCCCTGGCTGGAGAGCAACAAGCAGCGCAGCAACGGCAACACCAGACATCGCCGTCGAAAGTCGTCTAAATGAACCAGACCTCTCCGAATACTCTCTCGCCCAAGTAACCACCTCGTCCGCCGACTTAATCTGCCCATGCCAACACCGATAAATGATATCCGCACACGGGACACCAAAAAGAGGCGGGAAATCGCGAATCCTAAACCGATCTATGATATTCCTACTGCACATGTCCTCGAAGGGAGCGACACCTGTGACGATAAAATATATCGTTGATCCGAGACCAAAAATATCATTCTCCGGTTTAGGCGGATACCACCCATGCTTCGGGTCTGTGTATCTCACCCCGGAGCGGATGTCAGTTGGTGATCCCTCGATAGATGACCCGCTGAAGTCGCAGATCCTGAGTTGTAGGTCTGCATCTAGCAAGAGGTTGTGAGGCCCGATGTCGCAGTGCACAATGTTTGCTGCATGTAGGAAATGGATCGCTTCGGCTGCCTGGTGTATCCATTGTAGTCTCTGGTTGAGGGTGATTTCTGGGTGGTTGATGATGTAGTCTTTAATGGTGCCGTTGGACATGAATTCAATCTCTAGTATCAACTTGCTCGGGTCCCAGGATATCTTTTTCAGCAGACGTGGGTGTGAACCTAGTCGGTCGTATATCTCGGATTCGAGGGCAAGTTCACGACGACACTCGGCAGCCCGGATAGAACCCTCGGGCCAGGGCCTCTTGATGATATTGCCGTTGTCTAATTGTTCCACCCAAGATGTTGATCCAGCTCCAATGAAGGTGCCCATTTCGACTATAACCGACATGCCTTTTTCTGGTACATATGGTTTGGCATCGTTGCCATTGTGTGTACTTCTGTCATCGTTGACGGTCTCCATGGCCGGGTGCCTTAGGGTTGATGCTTGTGCTAGAGAAAAGTTGAGGATATAGGGAGCATTAGGGGTTGCCAACATCAATTATCAATGCACGCTGATAGGTATTCAGTATGGATATCGTATTCGCACATGGCTGCAATTGCAGTTGAGGTGTACTGCAATCCTAACATCCTAGATCCGCGCATTTTGATATCAAAATGGTTTTTTTCCTATACAAACTCTCGACCCACATATCTAGATAGGGGGATCAAAATAGCTACATTAAAATAATCCGCAACTTATAAGAAAAATGCGTAAAAACTTYAAGATATATTAATTACGGTAAAAARATAAGTATTTCTATATTTTTAAGCTATATATCTATAAAATAAAGCTAGAATTAGCTATTAAAGTTACTAGCGCTAAGAAATAGCAATCATAATAACTAATAAGACAATAGGTCATTAAGCAAGGGTAATAGGATATATACCTTACACTAAAAAAAAGTAAGTACGTACTAGTTTTTTAACATTAAAATAGTACGTACCGGCCATTTTAACATTAAAATAGTACGTACTAGCCATTTTAA